CTAAATTACCATTATCTTTTTTTAATCTTGCGATAAACGCGCTTCACACCTAAAATTTCCAAACTGGATTTTAATTCACTTTTAATCTCATCTTTGGATATTGTAGTGACCACACCTCAAATTATCCCATAACATTTGATAAGATTGTTGGCGACAAGTTTGCACTTGTAAAATCCACTAAAATGACCTTAACTTTATTTAAATTAATTTTATCGATTTTAACTACTTTATCTTTTATTTTTTGATGGCTAATTACAATTAATTTACCTATTGGCATAGGGTGTAACTTGAGTCATTTTTTACACTCTCTATACAAACTTGAAAAGGACCGAGATCGTTAATCAATACAGTTCCATAAGTCGTTCATTAATTTAATTTTTAACTGTGGACTATTATTTTTAGATTGATTCATTTCTGAGATCGAAGGATATTTTAAACTTATCATTTCCAAATCCATTAACGTGTTGTCATGAGGCATACCTCTGTTTTCTGCCATCAACGCCACAATGATGATATCAGATTAATTATTATGGTAGAGAAAGCAAACCCATTTCTTTACAAATTTAAATTTTAAAAAAATCATAGGGGCCTGAAATGATCTAGATGTCGGAAGCCCCAGTCAAAAATAAATAAATAATAATGACCAATTTTAATTGAATTCAATTTTAATTGAAATGATTTTGACTGAACGATTCTACTTATCGTTCTCTCAAATAAGATGTTGGTGTTCATTGTTCAAAGAATAATACTCAACTCATGATGTGTAGGTACAGAAATGATTTGAGGTGAGTAGGGTATGTTTTGAATGAATAAAGTTAATTTATTTAATGTCTTCTTTATCCAATAATGCTGATGTTTACTAAATTCTTTTTTAATTAAATTGTGTATTTTTAGTTAAAAAAAAAGAAAGAGAGAGAGAGAGAGAGAGAGAGAGAGAGATAGAGAGAGAGAGTGAGAGAGAGATGCAATGGTTTATGTGATTTATGTTGGTATCTAGTGCAGCCAAAGATATGGAATTTAATGGAGCACTTGTTTTATGGTTTATATTTTAGAAAGTACAGAGATCCATGTCATTAGTTTTACTTATTGTTAGATATAATATATGATTTTTTTTAAATTTATTATTTATCTGAATTTTTTTAAGTTTAAAACTTGTTTAAAAGTTATAAATAAGCTTTTCATTGGCATGGTTTAGTTGAACATAGATTGTGCAAATAACTGCACAATGATCAAATGATAGAACACATTTGGTTTTTGGAACATTTTTGACAAGAGCAAGGTTAAGGACACTGGGTCTAGTAACATTTGAACAAACAAGGTTAATAGTTACAATTATGAAGTTGTGGGATAAAGAAAGTTCAATCTTTGTCATCCCTCTCAGGAACAGCACCAAGCAGTGTGCTTGAAATTAAAATCCCTGCTAAGATAACTCGCTTGTACAAATGAAATATTATCTATCTATTTTAACCTAAGAGATAGATATGCAAGTATAATTAATATTTCCTGACTGGTCAGATAAACCATGCTACTAGAGCAGTGAGTTTTGATGAATGATTCATTTCATGATGTTCTATTCTTTATTTAGCACCATGTTTATTAAGGTTATAACCCACTGGTAAAATTTAATCAGAGTTGTTTGGCTTTCATGAGTATTTTAAGTGCACTGTACTTCATGTTTTAATTTTTTTCATCTTTGGTTTTTTTTTTTGTCATTGATAATTTAACTTTTGATTATGTTTCATAATCAAAATTATCCTAATATATGGGAGACAATAATGAGGCAAGTCTATGTGAACAAGATGTTGGTAAAAATGTTTTTCAACTCTTAGACTATATTATTTATGGTGATAGATGAATTAGTCAGGGTGCATATTATACTGTGCTCTTTAAGAGCTATTTATACATGGTTCTGTGCTTAAAGCACACTGATAAGTCCTAGTTCATCAAGGAATTTGATTAGTTGGCCCAGTTTTAGTGGTTGAATCTCTTCTACGGTTATGTTGTATGTCCCAAAACACTTCCTCCTGCGGGCAACTGTAGCAGCACCGTTTGTTAGTAAGTGTATTGTCTCCTCTGCTCTGCAGAATCTGCAAGTGTAGTGTTGAGTTATGTCAATCTTCTTCAGACGTCCATTTAGTTTGCAGTGCCCTATTAAGAATCCTGTTCGGATTTGCACTTTTTTCCTGCTTCGTTTAATGCATTCTATTACCTCTTTCCTTCCAAAGTTTGTTAGGAGGTTCTTGGATTTTTTGTTTCTAATCAGTGAGTTCCATTGTTCCCTCATTTTCTTTTTATACTTCTGCCTGAAGTATTATTTATGTAATTATGTAATATGATTTGATGGTATATATATATTGTATGAGAGGTGACAGTTCTTTTTATTTAATTTAGCAACAACAAATTTTGGGGTTAGGTTTAATTTCAAACATTGGAAATTGAACCAGATTGATTTGTTGATTTTCGAGCATGAAAGTCTTAATTTATAATAAAGTTTTAAAGTTCTTGTTTACAGGCTTCAATTAAGTGGAGGTAGTGTTGTTAATTGTATTATATTTCATTGAATGTTTTGACTAGCAAATTAATAGAAATGATAAATGTGGGGTGAGTATGTTGTGCAACTACTTTAAAAGATAGTTCTAGTAAGAAGTCTAGTGAACACACAGTTCTTTTCAACGATCTACATTTCAAGCATTAAACGCTCATTATTAGGTTGAAGGAGTTACCAACACGTCTCCTGACATGAATTGTATGAGTGACCCCGCTGATCCACCGCCAACACGACGTTCGAATGAGAAACAGGTAATTAATTGGTTTAATATGTAACAGGCAAGAACCCAAAACATTGACTTTTTTTATCTGTTATGTTGAATTTATGTACCATCTAGAATTTTTTACCTAGATAAATATTGTGTTGAGTACCATTCCCAAGATGATTAATTAAATTTTATATTGAATATTTCAAATATCCAACAAGCCAATTATATTTTTGCCTTCACTACTTTGGCTTTAAGATTTTGGGCCATTTGCTTAAATGAATAAGCACAGGAGTTGATTACATGTACGTGAAGAAAATATATCTTTGTGTTTTACTTTAAAATGTAATAGTTGTTTATTTGATGTAATGTATTATTTTTGTTTCATATATTATTTACATTTATATCTCAAATTCAAGCATTACAATTGTAACATTTATGTCTGTCCACTCATCTATGAAGTATGACGAATATGTGCATCAGTAAGTATGATAGACGCAGACCACCCAACAATGCAATGACAAGCTCAGATCCTCCTTTTGTAATTACATGTGATCACCTAATAAAAGTTAACGGGTGCTTCTAGAAGTAACAAAATAGTAATCATTGTAAAAACCAACAATTGATGATGGAGGAATAGATAAACCAAGACGATCAGAGATGAACTATCGACAAGCGTACGTAAGAATGACAAAACAAGTGCTAGGCGTTGTTTTTTTTTTTTTTTTTTTTTTTTTTTTTTTTTTTTTTTCTTTTTTTTTCTTTCATTTTTTCATTTTTTCATTTTTCATTTTTTCTTTTTTTCTGGTAAAATCCTGAGGAATTTGCCATTTCTTTGCCATTCATTAACAACAGCCGTTTCCAACTCTTCTAGGGTGTTAGGACTTTGGTTTCGCCGTCGTAATCGTCAATTAAGTTGGTTCCGAATGTGTTCGATTGGGTTCAAATCTTGACTTAAGCTGGCCACAATTTCTCTCACTCAATTCCAACCTCATTGAACTGTGATCTATAGTGCTTGGCATTATCCTTCACCGATATGGGGACAAATAGCACTATATGTTCTCCGACCTCTGTGAAGTTAGAGATCTCCTTCGCATACCCAACCAATTCGGTGCGAAAATGCCACCCTAGAACATCAATGACCCAACATGCCATCTGAAGAACCATACGGCAAGGACGTACCTTTCTCCCGAGTGTCTACATACGAAATTACGCCTATTTAAATGATTTGAGGCCAACTATCATCTCAACTGTAAGATAAGAGAACTGTTCTTCCAATGTTCCGTGCGAATTGAAGCTTGGCCGCTTTCTGAGCTGTGGTAAGAAGAGATCCACGAGCCGAGTGCCGGGCCGTGAGGTTATTTTCATTGAGCCTTCTTCTTGCAGTCCTAGAGGAAAATTAAACTTCACAGACTTGTCTTATCAGATTTTTTAATCTCATTTCCGTAATAATTTCATTCAGTAATAATGTAGTTTCATAGAGCCTGATGATGGATGAACCTACCGTTTCTCCGGTCTATATGGTGTAGACCTTGGTCGGCCCTGTCCTGAGTTGCTGGTGTGAAGCCCTGTTTCTCTGAAGCACTGAAGGACCCTTCCTATCGTTGAGTGATTTCCAATCAGTCCTCTTGGGACTTCACGCTGGCTTTATCCTACTCTAATGTTATGACCCTGACTGCCATACTCAAATGCCTGACTTGGAGCCACTGAGAAAGTTTTAAGAATAAAGATAATATGAAATGAAAACAGGGACAAACAAATAAAACTTAATGTTGTATAATTATTTCGTATTTAAGACGGTCAGATAAGCGGAAATGTGCCTGAATGCAAAACCAACTAGAATAGGCGGACCAGAATGTCGGAGTTGACACTGTAGGTTCGTCAAGTCTAGGCATCCGCAAAGCGTCTGAAAGTAATCATTTCTAATGTAATGACACAGTCTAGCGTAATTCCATATTATAAATGAGGTTGTCTTTTTACCACAGGTCAAAAATCAATCTAACATTCGTAACATTGGAAAAAGATGGAATCAGTTAAAGACATCCATCGTTCAAAAAGAGCGGTGGAATAATTTCAAAACGGCGGGTCACCGGGCCGAAAAGCGTGGAGGAGAAAAAAAGGAAGTGCTCCCGGTAAAAGGCTCCGTGCCGACCAAAGGACCGGGTGAAACGGAGTAAAAGAAAAGAAAATAAGATGAGGAAAAAAACCATGAGCAACCCAGAGGCAGAACAGTGGTCCTGGGTTGGGAAGGGAGACCGGGTTCCTGGTTGGCCCAGGAGTTGGAAGGTAGCAGCACTACTGCACGTCGTACCCCACCTCGAAATCAGTCATTCAGAGTCTGTCCATGCATCCGAAGACATCATCGCTTCCACCCGATTCAGTTTCTATTGTCGTGTTGACTGTGTTGGTGAACTTGTGTGTTTTTAGTGTGTTATGCTAGGGCTGAACTCGGAATCTATACCATAAGGTATATTAAAACTTTCATTTTTTTAAAACTCTTAAGCTTCCGGAAATTGCCACTTTCTTAAGATTCATCCCTATTCCTACTTACCTTACCATGACATGTACTTATTATAACTGTGGAAAATTATTTATTGGAAGGAGTGCGCTAAGCCAAAAGACCGTTCTTAGAGAGACTCGAGACTTCCTGCGTCCTTGGCCCACTAATCTACCATAAAGCTAATTGTACCTAGTTTTTTTTTTCTTAAAATTCTTTGAAAATTTATTATCGGGTGTTATAAAACACTGTCAAACGTAGAAAACACACGAGAGGTAATTGCTAAGATATTTTGTTATGAATGTTGGCGAGCCTGGCGGAGGAACGAAGAGGGAGGTGGTAAAGAGGACACGTATGCAGCCAAGCCGAGCTTAATCTCCTTTCCGACGGAACTTAACATATCTGATTACGTTTAAAAAATGAAGAAAACTTAGGCTTAATAACTACTTTATAATAGGCTATACTAAAACAAACTATTGCTTTTTTGGTAATTGTTAAACCGTGTGTATATATATATATCTAAAAACATATATACCTATATGTGGGCAAATCACACTTAAATATGACACCTTTAAAGTAATTGCTCAAATATCCCAGGTCTTATCAGGAGTTTGACTGTACTTTCTAATACCATGTGTCCTCCTATTTCTGCTGTTTGTTTTGGTTGTCACTTTTAGCAGCATCGTGCTACTTTGAACAACAGCCTGTACAAACGGTTGTTATGACAAGAGGCAATACAATCGCTGATTATACAGCTAACTAACTTGAATTATTTTCTTAATACTACTCAAACAAAGTATCAATAATTAAGCTATGTAAAATCGTAAAATAAATCATCAGACGACAATCATGTCTTGTTGTTTTCTATATTTTATTCCATCGCTGCTACAATTTTTAGAAACAACCTCTAGATTGGAATTTCTATAATTTAAAATAGTTGCTACATTTAGTTAATAAAACAACAATATATTTTTATCACTTTAGATGAATGCCGTTGAAAATCATAAAATGTCATTTCCAATGTTTCCCCATGTTCGGTTGGCGTCTTTATGCTGCCTCCGATGAAACGTGCAGCGAGAATGGACGCTACCAGGTTCTACGAGTATAATCCAGAGCAATGTTATCTATATATTCGGGTGTCCGGAAAATAATGCAGGTTTATGGATATCAAATAAAAACAATTAAATTATTTTAGGCATTTTTTATTAATTAACTAACTATTAATTAACACTCTCAATACACTTCTTCCAACGTGATGGCAACTTCTCTATCCATTCTGAATAGAATTTTGAGTCTTTATTATTAACGAATTCCGTAAACGCATTTTCTAACGGACTTTTGATCAATAAATTTTTTATATTGGAAAATGTTGTCCGAGTGTCTTGGAAAAAAATGGTAGTTTGTAGACGAGAAAATGAGGAGGGCGAGGCAGAACCTCATAACCAAGATCCAACATTTTTCGTGTTGTGTGTGAGAAATGGGGAAATGTAAAAGTATAGTCCTTTACCATTTGACCACAATGGTTTCAATGATGCCAATTTCTGGTACATTGATTAAATTCGAGAGCAATACATTTCGGCATTGATTGTTTTTTTTCCATGATTTAAGAAGCTGTTGTAAATCAGCCAAAATGAAGCTACCAAAGAGTCACATAAGTGGGTGCTTTGGAAATGCCTTTGTCGAACCACTGTACGAATTCCTGAACCATTTTTCATCACAAGTAACAATTCTAAACAGAAAAGTTCGTTTCTGTTTCGGCAAAGTATTGCGAAAACTTCATAACGATGATTTTTTAGCGGTCGTTTAATGCACGAGGAAACCAACTTTCGAGCTTTTTCACCTTTCCAATTTGTCTTAAGGTGGTCAGCGACGATCGATTTGCTAACTGAAATATTCTCTGCAAATTCTGGAACAGTTTTTCTGCGATTTTCTGCGAGTTTTGCTCCTTCCACGACCTTCTTTGCCTTCAAAGCTAAAGTCTCCCTCCCGAATTTTTTTAAACCGTCTCTGAATAGTGCTCTCACCGACAATGCCATCGCCGGAGACTTCATTTATGTTTCTGGCCGTTTGGCCACTGTTAAACGAAATTACGCGAACACAGTTTATTATATAAAGGGGTAATTGCAAGAAAACCTGCATTATTTGTATGGACAACCCAATAGACTTTTTTCCATGTGAAAAGTTTAAAATGTGCTTACTGGTCTGCCTTTTTTTTGCTAAGTTTCTATCATATTCGTTTTAGCATTTCGCCATCTTCTGTCGACATTATTGTACTATTTTCATATATTACAATTAATTAAGGTTTTTAGTTGAGATGAAAAAAATTTAATGGCACGAGCGGGATTCGAACCCACGATCTTCGGCTAGATAGTATAAAATAATACTTTATTCAAATTTCGTTGACATAACTTAAATATCTAACGCATAATAGATATTTGTTGGGTATTTTATTATAATGAATCAGACTATGTCGACGCAAAATGATTTGGTTTTATTGGTGAAGTTTTACATCCTAGACCGCTTATTGTTAATGTTTGCCCTCGGCAGATGTATCATCTCGTGTAAATCTACAATTTGGTAAATGTGATGAAGAAATCTGGTTCAAATAGTATAAATAATTTTGTAGTTTTTTCAACCAATCTTGTCATAATAGATTGGATCATAGATCTATTATAATTTTAGTTGCCTGGTGTGGTCCGTATCCTACCTTATTGTAGCTTTATTATCTGGCTGGAAATTTCATTTTTTATTTATTGGAAAATAATGGTAATTTAATAAAAATCTAAGAAACTATTCTTAGTAGAAATAGAGCTATCATAGAAATTTATCTTTTTTTAAATAGATTTTTAATATAATAATTATATGACAGTTTTTCTTCATCCTTTTGTTTTCACTAAGTGAAGGTTGACGTATACTACACGTTTACTTTACTTTTTTTCATATTGATGTTATTGTTTATTTATTAAGGTGATGATTATCTTTGTATAATAATGGTTTTTATTGACTCAATGTAATTCAACTCCTTTGGGAACAAAACCAAACTCCATTACGTTTTTATCAGAATTTAATGCCTTGCATGAAGTCACTTTCAATGTCGATTCCGATGGAAACAGCGAAAATAAACGGACCAGAACCAAAAAACCAATAAACGGACGCGTTCAACAAATCCGTACCTCCAGGACCAGAACAAACATTTTTCGCCGAATCTAATTGAATTTCTGTTTTTCAGATTTATTTCAAATGAATGTATCTTCCGCGCTTATTGGAGATTTTAGTATAAAAACATTAGTAAATATATACAGCATCGGTTGAAAATAACAGCAGACAAATTATTGTTGATATAAATAATTCTCAATTTATGAGAATGTTAGTTTAATTAGGGATATTAGATAAACGCGTTGTATTAGCATCGCAACAAAGATTTATTGATCATCATAAACCGGACCCATAAATAATAACAGTTCTATTTATTTTCGCCCGTCTATCTAAGAAAAGTGATATGTGCCGAATACATTATCACTGATATTGACAACATTGAGATTAACTGCACAGAGTGCTTTGGGCTACCCGAGACGGTAAATATCGCCAGTAAATCGGGCAAAACATTAATTTAAAAGGCGACATTTAAATTAAGAGTTACAAGCTTAGGGAGCCTAAGGGGCAAAGAGTGAAATTGGAAGAGAAACCTGTCATGATTTCGTTTCTTCGGCCAATTTGAAAACTCGATTTTATTTGTTGTTTTATAATAATTTTGAATTTAGTTATATGTATCACTGGAAAAATCAATTGTACCAAGCCTATCTCAGTCAATCAAAAACATTGAGAAATGATGTTTACCCTTTTTTAAAGTTATGATATACACGAAGTGAAGTAGGATTTTTTTTAAATTATTGTTTATTTTGAGTGTAATACTTATCACTATTTTAGAGAATACTTAATGTCTTTTTCTTTTGGTTTTATTCTTATACTTTACTTTGGCTATCCCTACCGTTCTGGTCCGCCGTAAGTCAAAACCTCTCACAACATTTACGGAATGTTGGATATATTGACATTTTAAATTTTAACGCCAACATGATTTCAAGAACTGTTATCGCTGGTTTGACACAAGCTCACCACAATCCATGGTGAAATGCCGAAACTGATCTGACAGACCAGGACGATCGCAAGCGATCAAGTTGTCTGGGTAGATTAGGTTGAAAATTATATGTCCGTCACAAAAATATGTTCCGTAATGAAATGCTTTCTATGGAACAATGGAGCGCGTGCTGTTGAGAAAAAAACGTCGCTTCGTTTTCCAGAGATAATGGGTAAATAAGGAGTCAGTTGTATGAGATTTCCAGGGTCGGAGGAGTTGGATAAACCGTTTTTTGCCTCTCCGATAGGTACGAGGTAAAAAAATCCAAGGACTACCGTCTAGACCCAATCAGAAACCCATTCAGGGATCGACAGTGGACGCAAAACTAAAAGGAACCCGACTTGGACCATTGTTGTTGATGATGAATGCGGTCCGATTCAATGTTGAAGATTCGCCCAATGAATATATCGAGAGATTATAATGACTCCGGCGCGCACGTTTCCGTCTTGCCCTGGGGCTTATCGTGAACTCCCTAATCCACATTCCTCCATTAACGCACGTATCTGGGCAATTGAGTGAATTGAAATCTGACGAGTAACGTTCGGGCACCGGACGACTTCCAGTGATATATGCCACAGGTGAATACTATCCCAACAAAAATCTAACCAAGTTCCAGACCCCTCTTCAAACAAATTAGCCTATCAATTTGATGCAGTTAGCCGAACGTTAGTATGGATCCATTCTGGAATAGAGAATTTTGCATTTGACCTCGTTATCCCGATTATAATCTTGCAGATTCCTTTGTGACCAGTTGGTCTGCTAGATCATTACCCAAAATCTTCGTGTGCTCTGGCACCCCTGATGTTGATAGACTGTTGTGCTGTTGCAGGTTTTGGAGTTTCGGGTTGGAGTCACCTACCTTTTGTATGCGAGAGCATTGCTTTTAAGGCACATTGGTTATCTGATCTCTTAAGGATTTAGGAATTTTTTGTTTTTTTGGTCAAAAAATCCTGTAAAGACTTTCTGTTGTACAAACAGTAGTAGCACAAATATCTGCTTGAAAACGGCTCATATTTTGGTTGCACAGAAGTTTCCTCACCGGATTTCTTTATTGTTTTGGAGCCACCTGAATACTGTAGACATATTCGAGTTTTCCTTTGATTTCTTCTTTTCCTTTAGTAACTTTATGGGTTGTTTTAAAGTATGGTTATTCTAAGTTCCCATTTTTATAAATGGGTGTCTGCTTTTTTTAAAATCTATAACTCTACATATTTGAGTTAATTTGTCTCGTTTGTTCTTGGATATTTTCTATGGCAGCTGATGGGGTTGTTCTCATTGCTCTTGTTATGGATAGATTTGATAGTTTCTATTGGCTGTCGGAATTTTGTGCAGCTTGTTTTTGTTGAACTTTGGTCCACCACAATATTGAGAAAGGATCCTGATGAATGTCGGGCATATAATCTAGCTTAGAAAAGAACAAATGGTCGATGCATAAACGAAAATGTAGCAGAGGGATTTAGAGCAAGTTAGGTTGGTGATGGTTTATTTGACCCACCCTTCTTTTAGAACCTAGATATCAATTTCTTTTATTTATGGACCTGTTTAAATTAATACAGATTTTGGTTGAAAGATGAAACTTTGTTTAAACGCCACGAGGGAAAACTCATAAGGTGGGGTTGAGATGGGGAGTTGATGTCCGAGTGGATCGAGGTCGCGATGGCTCGGGTGGTGAGGCGGCGGCGTGTCTGGCCGAGGGTCGTGGGTTCGAGTCCCTCTCGTGCCATTAGCTTTTTGTCATCTCAACTAGAAACCTTAATTGATTGTGTGTTTAAACGATTTGATTGATGAAAACGATTCTATGCATAAATTTAAATACTAGTTGTATTAATAACATTGTCCTAAGGTTTGCATGGTTACTTAGTGACCGATTGAACATAATTCCATTTCGTTAAGTCGGCTTACAAGAATCAGAAGGAACTTATTTATTTTGATAAATAACGAATGGATGATACGAAAATATGCACCATTGCAAAAAGGATGAGAGGATCCTGTATTTTCATGGCGTATGTGCATGTCTCTTTCTATGTCCACAAGCATCTGCATTTATAGTCTAGTACATCATACCCGACATTTCGTCATCTTTAAAGTATATATGTTTTATTATTCATGCGGAATGTTTTCAAATCGTAGGGATTCAAGATAAGATCTACGTTTTTTTTATCAACAGACAACTCCGGGGTTGTCGTCCTTAAACAGATATTAATTTATAATTAACAAACTTACAGGTATAATAAGCAGTGACATACAGTTATTTTAAAAACTGGAACCAAAAAGCATACTCACCTATCGGGCCAGAACCACAATTAAACGCACGTTAGTTTGGTCGATTCCGATCATTTTGGTATGCCTATCGAGAAAACTACAGGTTCAAACTCCACAGACTCCAAAATACAATATCCCAATAAAGCTAAAAACAAATTGAGCCAGTGAGATGAGGAAAAGGATAAATATGCCGGGTTTAAAACAACGAAAAAAAAATAAGACGACGTATGCTTGCTCGCATGAGATGAGGAAAAACAGGCACTGCCAATTAAGGCAGAGAACAGATCTCTCAGTATTGGTACATAGTATACGTGATAGTAAAGCACGGTTACTACTATATACACAGCATCATAGTGTGTACATCATTGTATGAAATAGGCCCAGAAAGTGTTTAGATTTTATATTGAAACTCTGGGTTAAGACTAAATTGGAAGGAAAACATTCAGTTCCTTCGTTAAAGTTTAGAAGAAAATATCCCATTTTCAAGAATTTGCTGAACATTGAAACTATTATTAGTCCAAATCTGCATCCAAAAAATGTTATACTGCTGGGGTTGGTCAGTATAATTTCCTGAATAATGGTGAAAATAACAGCAGAAAAATATTGCGAAGAAATTGACAAAATGCACGGGAAACTGCAACGTCTTTGTCCACCATTGGTAAACCGTAAGGGGCAGATTCTTCTTCACGATAACGTCAGGCCACTGGCCAAACCCTGCGGAAATTTGAGGACTTAGGATACGAAACCTTACCGCACCCTCCATATCACCTCTCGCCTACAGACTTCAACTTTTTGTCGGCATTTTGATCTCTTATTGAGGGACAGATTGCTAGAGGATACGCCTACCAAGACTGTATTGTGAATGGACATAGAAAATTTTATGTCAGCGGAATAAAAGCACTCATTACAAGTTGTCCAGGATGAATAGATTGTGATGGAAAATATCTCCAATAAACTTTCTTTATTTTGTAAAAATTAAAAATAATTTTGTCTGCCTTTTCAAAACATGCATTACTTTTGCACCAGCCCAATACATATTTTTAACGAGTACAGAAAATTTCAACGTTTATCAGGCTTTGGTCGATTTGTTAAACCAACTGGTTGAAATAACTGCTATAAATAACCAATAAAATAATTATAAACATGGCTGAAGGCATTAGGTCAATGTCAAAAATATGATTGTAAAGTAACCGAAGAAAATTCCCTCTAGTAAAATTTGAAGAAGTACTATCAATTTTTTAATACCAATCGATGAAAAAAATCATTAAAAGTATTGGCTAAAATTTTATTATTCACTTCATTCAAATTAATTTTATGACTACATGGAACTATTTGTTGTTTCATTCATATTCATTATTTTTAAAATAATTTTGTGAATTACCTATTCGTTCTTTACAGAACTTGGATTTAACCTACTAATGTTTGCTTATTTCGATACTTTTGTTGTATTTACTATCTAAAGAAGGATTTTTAAGTGTATTTCCTGTACATTTTATCCCTATTTTTAATAGAATTTGATCCTTTTGTCATCCAACTTTTCAGATTAACGGTTTTTTTCATAATAACCCAAAAAGACTGTGATGGATTTAACAATTTAGAAAATTTGTTCATTGCCGAATCGACTGAGTTATTTATCTCCAAAATACCATTCCAACTCACTCTCAAAAAATTTGAACGAAATTTTAAAATTATTCTTTTAAGTATTAAGCTCTTCATTTTCTTATTAAAAACATTGATTAATTACATCAGGGATAAAGTGCTTAAAATTTTTTTTGCGAGGGTTCGCAACAGCAGAGATTATATCAACCTTTGGGGTGCCGGTGTTTTTGAAAAATTGCTGGATTCGAACCGGGGACCTTTACCTTACAATGATGAGCGCCGTATCAACGCCTAAACAGTTGCGGCCACCGACGCCCCCAAAGTGCTTAAATTACAGGCTAAAAGAGAATGCGCTTTCCATGATTTGAAGACTAGTGTGGTCAGATTCGGTTAGGTTGCAGAGGAAGTGAGATTTTTCAATTATCAAGGGCTCCTAAACTGACAACAAATTGTTAAACATCAGATTCTTATTAAGTGATAAATTTCACATTGTTGTGTGAGGGGTATGACCTACTGAAAATAGCGAAAGGCCACTAGGGAGAATAGGCAGTATGATCAAAAACAATCAAGCTACATTACGTATCTTTATACTGAAATGCCATGTCGGAGGAATAATAATTTTGCTTTGAAGCTAAAATATGTATATAATTATTAGTTTTTTGTGTGTTTCAGGGCAAAAATGCCGAGCAGTGGAAGCGGCGGGGAAGAAGGAAACCGGGAGGACGGAGGAGGAGCGACTAGATCCTTGGGTCCGTACCTCATGCACAGGGACTCCGCCTTCGTTCCCGTTATGCCTTCCAGGAGCGTCCGGCTTTACGGAGCCCCGAGCGACGAGCTGGTCGCGATGATGGCCGACAAAAGAAAAGAACTGGCCCTGCACGCTCTGCTCCCTCCGCCACCGGCTTATCCACTGTTTCCGGGTGGCTCTGCTCCTCCGACTTTTCCTTTCCCACCGCCCTCCGCGTCGATGTTTCCACCGGCTCCGAATCCGGCCCGACTCCTCAGGGCCCCCGGGAGGGCTGCTCGGCCAAAGAAACAATTCATTTGCAAATTCTGCAACCGACAGTTTACCAAGTCTTATAATCTGCTCATCCACGAGAGGACCCATACTGACGAGCGACCCTACTCTTGTGATATCTGCGGTAAAGCTTTCAGACGGCAAGATCACCTTAGGGATCACAGGTCAGTACGAATTTTGGTCTCAACCTTCTACAGCGTACCATTATTACTTTTATTTAATCCAATACCTGTTTTTATTTATGAGTTTCTCCAACTCTAACGCCTTAAATATTGGGTTATCAGGAAAGTAATGGAGGTTTTGATGGTTTCTTTCAATTAACCATTTATACAACTATATAACTGTTTACGTTTGAACGAATGTCAGCACTTTTTAATCATTTTCCATTCAAACATGTTTGTTTACCTCAGTACCATTTCATTACCTACATCGTTAAGACGTCAACTCGTGATTTTCGCGTAATTTCGTTTTTTACGAGTTTAACCGCGGTCGGACTGGTGCCCAAACGACCAGAAACATTAATAAAGTCTGGAGCTATGGTAGTTTTCGTGAGAGCACCGTTCAGCGATGGTTTAAAAAATTAAAAGGGAGACATCAACCATGAAGACAAGGAAGGTCGTGGAAGGATTTCTTCCCTAGATGTTGTTGATCCCTAGAAGTTAGATGATGTTCTAGCAGCATTGGTCGAAGAAAATCCGAGAACAAATGTTCGAGACCTTGCAGAGAATCTTTCAGTTAGCATATCGACCTTCGTTTACTACTATAAGACAATTGGAAACCTCGAAAGTTTGGTTCCTCATGCATTAAACGACAACTAATAAAATCATCGTTATCATTTTGCGCAACACTTCTTTGCCGAATCAGAAACGAACTTCAGTACCATTTCATTACTTGAGAATAATTCAGTCTTTACTAAGATGTCGTAATTTTGGCCTAAGTTTTACGAGTTTAAACTAAGTCGGAGCTCAAACAGCCAGAAACAATAATGAAGTCTGAGGCCAAGGCAGTGTTAGCACCGTTCAGAGATGGTTTAAAACATTCGCCTTGAAGACAAAAAAGGTCGTGGAAGGATTTCTTTCCCCTGATGATGATATTCTGAGAGCTTTGGTCGAAGAAAATCCCAAAGCAAATGTTCGAGAACCTGCCGAGAATGTTTCAGTTAGCAAATCGACCGTCGCTTACAATCTTCAGGCAATTGGAAAGGTGAAAAAGCTCGAAAGTTGTACTCCTGATGCAATAAATGACTGCCAAAAAAATCATCTTTATGAAAATTGCGAAACACTTCTTTGCCGAAACAGAAATGAACCTTTTCTGGATAGAATTGTTACTTGTTAAATCCATTTCAGTTCGTGGTCCGATTGACCAATTAACACTTTTCTTTTAATTAATATTTATGAAAGGTATCAAATTAAAAATTTGTCGCCGAGAATCAAATAGATTACACGTCATTCGAAAAATGGCAAAAAGGAGGCAAAATTTAAGAGGTGAGGTTGAGATGGGAATTTAGTGTCCGAGCAGATCGAAGTCACGATAGCTCAAGTAGATAGAGTAGCGGCGTATCTAGCCGAAGGTCGTGGGTTCGAGTCCCGCTCGTGACACTGACTTTTTATCTCAACCAAAACCTTTCATAAATATTAATAAATTGGAAAATTGTTACTTGTCATGAAAAGTGGATTCTCAACGATATCGGCAGACATTCTGGACAGTGGTTCGACAAAGGAGAAGCATCACATTTTCCAAACTCCCAGTTCATCGAAAAAAGGTGATGACTTTAGTGGGCTGATTTACTACAGCTTCTTGACTCCTGGTGAAACAATGCCGAAATGTATTGCTCTCAAATTGAAGCAATGTCCCAGAAAATGGCATCGATGCCATCTTTGGTCAATTTGTAAAGGCCGTAAATGTTCTCACATCTGACAACACGAAAACCGTCGGATCTCGGTTATGATGTTCTGCCTCACCCTCCCTATTCTCCAGAACTCTCGTCTGCTGACTACCATTTTTTTAAGACATTCGGACAACATTTTACAATATAAAAAATTTATTGATCTAAAGTCGTTAGAAAATACGTTTACCTAATTTGTTAATAATAAAGATTCAACATTCTATTCACAGGGTATAGAGAAGTTGTTATCACTTTTGCGAAAAGTTTATTGATAGCGATGGGTGGTATTTTAATTAATAAAAAATTTTATAACCATAAACCGGCATTATTTTCCTGATAACCCAATACGTAGTACGTCTGACAAAATGGTATACAATCCGTAAATTTCCTTTCTTCTAGACTGCACAGTAGCATTGATTAAAAATCCTTCTTTGAGCTTCTATTGTATAATTGACTAAATATCAGATCAAGCTGAAATCTCTTCCAAAAATCTTTCAAGATTATGTGCTATTAGGACTTCTCCTATTTTCAACGTATAAATCCTTCGGGATTCTTTCTTCTCAATAATAGTATTAAATACTGCTAAGCGTTTGTGACCATCGCCATGTCTATAAAGTAAGAACATGTCGACCTCTCCATGAGAACGTTGACATCAGTGAACTCATGATCTATGCAATCTATCCTTGTACTAATGACGGCTTGGCAATGGAAGCATGTAATCAATCAATTGACATGTATACCGTTCTTTTCATCATTATATAATTTTTTTATGAAAATGTAAATAATTGTATTTTAAAAATTGTAAATAAGGAGATCCTTACTGCACATATTTACCAAATTTCTCAGTGTACGTAAATGTGGAGTTTCGCTGTTAATTAGATTTTTTCTCAAGCAAATTCGTCCTTAAAAGCCCTTCCATCAAAGGAGAAATCCTCAATTACGGCTATTAATACGTACGTGTAATTAATTCCATCTATTTAATCGGTAGAGTCGGAGGGACTTAAGACCCCCCCTAATTGGCCCAAATCGTACAATCCATCAACAGATTTCCGTCAAGGTTTTATTCCGTCGGACCAGTTTGGCATAATCCTAGGCGGGTTACAAATTAACTTAGCTCGCCTATTATCTTCCTCTCGCTCCGCACTGAGTTGGACCAGAGATAGCTTGTAATTATTTCACGGCCCCGGGCTGTGAGAAACAAATCATAACAGATCTCTCGGTCTTCGCCCTTTCCGATCTCTATCGCCCTGCGCTCCTCGGGCCAGTATTCTATTTTAATAATAAAGATCGAGTTTTAAGGTTGGAAACTTTGGAATATTGCATCTTCATTATTAAAACAAAAGGAAAATATCTAGTCTATACTCGAGTTACAAACTTTACCAGTAGATTCTTCATTCAAAATGGGACCAAAAAGTCCTAATTAACTATAATCCGAATCTCCTCAGTTTCGAAGTTATTCCTCTTTTTCTGATTTTTTAAGATATCACGACATTACTTCAAATAAACAATGATAAATACAAAACTAAAAAGTTTTGGCAAAATTCGTTGATACCATTGAAAAATACTTAAATTTCCAATGAGACAAATTGTTATTGCATCAAATTATTTTACAAATATTTAATTGAAAAGATATCTTAAAGAATATTTATTTTGTTAGTAAAGAACGAAAAGCCAATTATTTTTTATAAAAGTTTATAAATCATTAGGGGTTTTTTGTTACAAGATAGTGTAATAACAGGTTTATTGGATATTTATTTGTGTACTTTCTCAAGCTTTATTGTCTATAACTACAGATTTTAAAAGACATTTGCGTGATTTTTCTTCCAGTAAATAAAGCAGAACAACTAGAACTCCTACAAAATTTGCCGAGGCGATAATAATTCAAGTTTTAATTATAGAGTTGGTCGAGAAAGAGGCAGAACAATGGCCTCAGTTCTCGTAATACCATCGTCCCGGTTCAATTAATAGTTTACGGCTTTAATAGAAGATACAAATGGCCATTGGCCGTGGCGGGACGGTCCAAGGCTAACTGGTATCCCCGGCATCTAATTGCCCAACCGTCGACTGAGCCCATCTCGGCAAGTGTTAAGCCAAGGAAGGAAGGGGATTAGGATTTTTAATCCCCAAATTTATGCTTCCTTCTCAGCGGGGCAAATCCCCTTGTCCGGACGGCGAGAGGACATTTTGTTTATACTCCCCTGCCGTGTAAATAAATAAGGCATGGTTAAGCCGGTGGACCCGATTCCCGTCGTCGTAAATTTGATATTTTTGAAGGAAATAAAGTGGGATTAACGCTTCCGGGCTTTCCGTGACAGTGGGGTCCAATTCCTTTTATCGGAACGATCTCCAGGGAAACTTCCCTCTGTCGACTTGTCCTGTCACGAACAATATTCAATGAACGCGTCCAACAAGGAAAATCGGCGTGTCTGGAGCGATGGTCATGTTGCTGAACATCAATGTCGGTGCCGATTTTTTTTATGTTATCACACTAAGAACGACTATTATTGATAACACAATTAGTTTGTCATGCCGTTCTTTTATTTATTAATTACTTATCTTGTCACTTCAACATAAAAACGCCCCATAACGAAAATAAATTTTTATTTTTGGTTTGCCAGCTGTTTATGTGTTTCTGGTCATCCGGCGTCGTATTCTCGCTGTATGTTTAGGTCAGAACAGTTTTCTTTTTTGCAGGTAGAATACAAAGAAAACAAAAAAAAGGTTAGAATGATCAGAAGCAATCGAATAGTCATACATTCTTGAGAATATAAAGCAAGAGGACGTGCATTGATAATACAATATGTAATGACAATGGATCATGAATCACAGACACGTGCTAAGTTTTGTAAATACTGTTTATATACGTAATAGTATAAACTGATGACAAATTTAAGGCACCATTCAATTTATTTAGTTTAAAATTAAAATCATTATCTTTCCACATTACTTACAAGTAATTAGGAGCTATCGTAATAAAAATAAGCAGTAAATAATGCTTTGTATACTTCCTTTATTTACTTTTGTACTGATTAATCCAATTTGAACAAAAAGTAGCATTTCGCCCTTCCATCCTGCTACGCCTAAACATCGACTCTACATAGGAAGGGTTCTTCGGCGCTTCAGAAGAAACATGGCTTCACAGTAGAAGGCTAGGGGCCAGGGTTGAGCTAGGTCTACAGACGAGATAGACGATAGATTCATCCATCAGGCTCTACGAAACCGCAGCATTACGGGAAGTGGATAAGAAATCTGATAAGACAAGTCCGAAATGTTTCGATT